TCGAGATAATGCAGATGTATTTCAATTGAGGCACACACGAAAAACGTGCTGGTTTGACTGTGATAGGTGATTTCTTCTAAGCGAGCATCCTTATCGTTAGAATAGGGCGTTGTTTAGGAAGAACCGACGAGTATTTGATGGTCCATCTCCTGAATTAAATAGAAATTATGCGTTAACTCAGTTCAAAGATTTTAATGCAGAGAGAATCGTTGAATGTTGTGGTAATGAGCATTATCTTGTGAACGCTTGTGGTGGCCAACATAATTGGCGCAAGTTGATTATTTTTTAGGATTTGCTTTAAAAGATCATTTACTGAGGTGTAGTTTATATTGTCATGCATATTAGAAAAAAAAATCTCGACAACATAATAAACACCGTTCTCAATGTCTAAGAGAAGACGAAAAAAAATCTGAAGTCTAGATTGAACTTGCCTGAATAGTGTTCTCGTAAGAAAAGGTCCCAATGACAAGTATATTTATGATGTCTACTTAGTGCAATCTCAATGCACTCAGTTGTCGTATAGTGGCAATGAATATGAATCCATAACTTGGGAGGTGTAGAGAAGATGCAACAATCTTACTAAACTAGGCCAATATGGTTTTAAAGGGGTTTCACACTCAACAACAATCAAGAGCAAAACAAGGTAAACAAAAGAAACAAACCATGAAGGTTCAAGACAAGTAATTTAACTAGATAAGAGCAAATTGTTGATTAAACAAAACAGAGCAATAACTTAACAAATTCGAAATATTAAAAGCAAGGTTCAAGACTAAGGCAATGTGACTTGGGGTGGTTTTAAATCATGTTCAAGGTATTTAAGCAGCAATCAATGCATTAAACTCTAAGCAAGGACTACTAATATTAGACTTATCCACTCTCATGGTACTAATCCTTTTGACTAATCACTTTTCAAACCCATGGTTAATAGTGTGTATATAACTAGCAAGCTTTCATTCACAAAGTCCATAGAGCTAAAAAGCAACTTAGACAACTAATATCTTGTGCAATGGATCAAACATTAACTCACACTCTCATGCATAATCAATGTCCAAATGCGATTTCTCTATCCTTAAATACTCTAGCATTAAGCTCAATCAAGCATGAAATGGAAGATGCAAGGAGTCATGACAATCAATACATCATTTCCAAGCTATAAAACTCATTCAAACATTTCATCAAACACCAAACAAAACGTCTATCATCTATTTCAGGCAAAAGGGAAATACTTGGCATTAAACATAATCACACAAGAAGAGATAATCAGAGATCTAACACCCTAACACCTTAAACAATCATCAAAACCACCCTAATCTACCTTAATCTCAAACCTAAGATTGACTACTCACTAACCATGTTTAAATCCACAAAAATATGGTTAAACATGATTATTAGTAGATAAACAAGGAAGATAAACAAGCAAATACAAGACTTTATTAAATATAAACTTCAATATCCAAACTTTGTTCTTGAGGGAAATAGAGTTTTTGCAACAAAGGAAAGCTTAAAAGTAAATAAAAGATAAGACAAAGGCTTTTTCATGAGTTTTTTAAGCCAAGCCTATTTATAGGAGAGTCACAATATAGGCTTGGTCAACTAAATAAAACCTAGTCAAAAGATAGTCAACACTTGGTCAACATCCGGATTTCTTCATATCGAGCATGCCAGCAATGTACACTCCACGGTATGCTTGCTCGGTGCGTCTTGAAAATGCGGTGTCGGATCCTTGGCTCGGCTGGACTCTCGATCATGGTTGGTTCTCCTCGGTACACCTCCACGGTATGTCCTGTGTCTTCAGATTTCGGGCTTGGTTAGCTGAACCTCTATGGTGCACCTGCTCAGTGCGTCTCTGGTTCAGCATATCGGTCATCACCTCTCAAATGTGGTACATATCGAACAGGATGGAAGGTTCCCTCCATGATGTATCTCCACGGTATGAGTCCTGAACGGCTTCATTGCTTGCTTCCAACTTGGTTGTCCTTCTCCAATTGATCAACCATTCTCTTTATGCTCTCCTTAGCTCATAAATAGCCCTCAAATACACTCAAAGTGCAAGAATGTATATATTCCTAATCTATATGCATACTAAGTCTAATATGGATGCAAATAGGACACTTTGGACTAAAACTGTATGAAATGAAGTGAAAACCTATACTAAATAAAGCCTAATATGATGTAATAATGCATGATATCACTGAGTCTCTGCTTTTCGGTTAGATGCACCTCCATAGGACGAGTTTTTTTACTGGATTGTCGACGGCGTTAAATTCCTGGATGGATGCACATCTAACCATTGTAACTGGTTTGACTATGGAGAAGGGAATTTTTTGTCATGTTGTGATGCAGCGGCTCCTTCCATTTGCTTCTTCCGATCATCTACCATGTAATGGTATAAAGCAATTACAGATAAACAATAATTATATATTATATATTTTATTCAAGAATTTCATTCATAATAGCTTTATTTACCATTTCTTAATATCTACATTGTTAATGTAAACTTTCCAGGGATTGGTTTGTTTTTTTTAGATATATGCAATCTCTTACAATAGATGGTATTTGAAACCTGGCAGACATAATACCTGTAATACTTTGCAATCTAGAGAAGATACTTCCACCTTTTTTCGTTGATGTTATGGAACATCTACCAATTATCTACTTCAAGAAGCAGAACTTGGAGGACCTGTTCAGTATCGTTGTATGTATCCTTTAAAATGGTATCTGTTTCATCTCAAGAAAAAGGTCAAAAAATTACCAGAATCGAGGATTCTATTGTCGTACAGAGAATCAAAGAAGAACCTTCTAATTTTACAGAGTTTACTTTCTAACACAAGTCAACACAAGACCCACTCGACATGATAACAGAGGCGAGAGACCATTATATCCAGTTTATGTTCCTTATATCTTCTCACATATAGAAAAAACTTGGTGGAAAAGGTAAGAAGCAAAAGCTTTCAACCGATGAGCGAAATAATTTGGATATGTATATTCATACAAACTGCAATGATGTTAAAGAATATGAGACGTATTTAATTGCTTACTTGACCATGTTATATATATAGCTTAATGTGTGTTGTTCATTTCCACATGATATATCTAACTCAAATGTTATAATTATCTGCAGAAACTATAGGAAGAGCTTATCGAGCTAACACAAGAAGAGTTTAGATAGTTACGATATTACATTGATATTAATATATATATATATATATATGATAAATGATTAAATTATTACCAACTCATTTAAGTAGGTTACGACAAAATTGTATCAATGTCATTTATTTTCCACGTGGTTAAAAGAATTAGTGCAATTCCTACTAACTATCGCCAAATCACATATGATGTATTGCTTTCAAAGTTATATTTTCAAAATTCTTCAGAATGATAGAAGTAGACCGACTTCTGATTATAGAGTATCTATTTAGTCTGGTGATCTTGGATACTATGGTGTTCTTCGCAAGAATGCAGAAAAATTCAAGAAGAAAAAGATCGATTGCTTGACACAACTTTCTTACAAAAGTACTGATGGCTCGACAGCCTCAAACGAGCTAACCTGCGGTAAAATCAACAACTTTTTTTCTTGGTCAGTTTTTTTAAAAATATATACTTTTAGTTTTTATTTATCTAACACTTCTGATAATTATTTTTAGAGTCTCAAAAATTAACTGTCCAAGACTTCAAGACTCAACCAAGAAGAAAAAGAATGTGATGCAGTCATTGAAAAAATAGATGAGAAAACATGAATAGTTTGAATACACACACCAAACAATTCATGATGAACTACGCCAAATGAAAGAAATAATAAAAATTTCATTTTCTCATTTGTTTCATAAATAGTTTGTTTGTTTAACTTGTTTAAATAATTTCTTTTTGTGTTAATTGTTAATTGAAAATAATTTCATAATATAATTTTATATCAACATTTTATTTTAATTAATATTATTGATTTTTAATTACTTTTTACAATAATTTTTTTTCAAACTTTTTTAAAAATTAAATTTAGTCAGAAATCTATTAGATTCCTCTAAAAAAAGTTTTAATTCTTAAAAATATAGTTTTAGTTATTTTTTAGTTTTGTCAAATTGTTATCAGAAATGAGTTCATCCAAAAGTAGTTAGAGTCCTTTCCAAAGAAATTTTAGTAACTTTCTGATTAATTTGTTTGACTAACACTTTTAAAACCAACTACCTTTAAACGTAGCGGTTGCGGTTGCAGATGCGGGAGTTTGCAAAAGCGAGCGATTGTGATTAACAGCATTAACTAACGGTTTGTACCACTGGTATAGTGATTAAGAGCAAGTGTTTGCGGACATTTTTGACTGATTGGCTAGCAGATGCAAAAACGATTACACAACAAAATAACAATATATATATTTTATATAATTAAAAATAACAAAATATATTATTATGAGAAAATAAAAAATATACATTTAATCTAATTAATACTAAAAATCATAAAAATATTATATGCATATTACTTACATTTATTTCTTAATTTTTTTAGTTTAGATAAAAATTATGATTTTTAATATATTAAAGTTATATTAAAATACTTTTAATTATTAGATATATATATATATATAAATATTAATGGTAGAAAGAAAAATTTATCTAAATTATTTTAGTTTAAAGATTTGATAAATATAAAATTAATGAATATCAATTTTAGACTATAAAAATATTAATTAATACTACTTCAAAAAGTATCAAATTTATTTATATATTTTGTAATTATAATATTTAAAACTTATTTAAAATAATGTTATATATATATATTAATTTTAAATATTTTTTATATTTTTATAATTTTTTAATTATTCAGCCGCCTAAATTCAATAACAGCTCTAAATTACAAATGGTTTTAGATTCTACTCTATAACCGAACAAAAACCTAACTATAAACCGGATTGTACTTTACTTTTGATGAGTTTCATCATTTTTCTTGTCAATTATCTCTAATCCGGTGGTTATCTTGGGAGGGGAAACACGCCGTAATAATCCGGTGTACGATCTGAACTACTTAATATTCGGCTCTCCACAATATGTATAGTTCAAATAATTAAAAGATAAAACCATTCTTGGGCCAATTTGATACTCCTTAACTTCTCTAAAGATTCTTAAACAAAAAGCAGGAAAGAAAAAAAGAAAACTGTCTAGATTATTTTTGAGCATCTACTTTGGCTAAGGTAGCTTGAGTTGACATTATAAAGAACAAAACAAAATGTATCGGTTCATCTGTACCGATCTAAACCGGCATCTTCAGTACAAGCTGACCCTCCACAACACTGCAACACATAGTAAAACACATCAACAACATTGCCAAGTACCTAACTAATCGTTACAAACAAATGCATCAGGTTTCACAAAATCTGCAAAAAGTCGATTACCTTTTGACATAGTAGTAGCAGAAGTCGGCGAGGATGAAGGTTTGAACGATCTCGGCTACTAGAGCCACCGGGAACCAAAAGTAACCGGCACCGATAAGCCATAGGTAATGTCCACGAGTCTCATAGACCTATCATTTTCATGAATATTAGTGTTCTTGAGCATAGAAGGTTAATGATTGATAAATACACGGAGAAGAAGAAACTTTACCTGGATAAGCCAATGAGCGCATGCCAAGAACCTAGCGATTCCTAATGCAAACACGTAATGAGCTGTGAAAGGCTCTATAATCTGAAAAATGATTTGTCAAGAACATGTTAACACTTCGTAAATATAATTTGGTTAATCTTGGACCTAACTCTAAGACTAATCCTGAAAATCTGTAGAAAACTAAAAGCAATCTTTCTTGTCACTTGAAAACGTCTACACTGGCCAACATAGAAATCTAGCGCATAAGACTCAATTCATGGTATTAAAATCTGTTGGAACAATGTTTTAGTTTTATAAAGCAAATTCTTATATCCGTTGTTCCGCGGTTCTACAAAAACTACAATTGATAGATATAAATCATCAAAAGATACATATAGAGATGTCGAAAAAAAGCGGCTTACTTGAGCGTTCTGCATTAACCGAAGCTGAGGAAGAACAGAGACAGATTCAGAGAAAACGCAAAACGCCCACATGACACGGTGGATGTAGGTATAAGTCGTAGTCGGATTGATAATCAACGCAAGAATAGCAGATGGAACAAGCTAATGGAGAAAAAGAAGAGAAGAAAACGTTACATATATAATCATATTGAAAGCAGAAACAAACAAAACAAACTCGTTATAAATCAAAGCCATATATATATATATATATTATTACCACATAGTAATTGTGACAAGTGTCCAGAGTCTTTATGTAAGATGATTTCAGCTTGAAACGAATCATATAAATGACCCATAAAGTCGAAACCAAGGTAGTGAAATCAAGAACTGTATGTATATCACCTTCCATGCTTATGCTGCATATCAGTCTCACAGCTAGAAATACTGCTGTCACTTCTTGAGACTTTAAAGAAAGACCTAATAAACAAAACCTTATGAGATTCCACAACGTTGATATTTACACAAATACCACTCATATCATAGAATTTTCAGATTTATTTACCGGAGCAAGTCTTTTGGCGGGTGAGTTTGTAAATGAGGATTAAGATTCCGGCGGCATGGATAACCTCGGAGGCGACGAAAAAGTGGTTGCGATTCTTAACGGTGAATCTGAGGAAGACGACGAAGATCAGAGAGAGGATTATCCCTAAAGCAATCTTAACCTTGTTTGATTGTTGTCTCAGCCACCCGAAAACCACGTTCACGGCGGAGACGCCTCTTCTCTTCCCCATTTTTGATTTGATCGGAGATTTTTTCTTTTATTATTATAAAATCTCTCTCTCTCTCTCTTTTTTTCTTTCTCTTTTGTGTGTTTATGTGTCTCAGAGATTTAATGCGACGTTCCTGAAATTGAAGGATACGTTTTGGTGAGTGAGCGGATACACGACGAGGGCATGCGGCCGATGACGTGGCGATTAATTTTTCTGATCCGATTAGCGAATCGGGTTACGACGCGTGTGAGTGATGGTTCCTTTTTTGGTAGTAAATCTGGGGGTGATGATAGTCAAAACCCTTTTATTAAGAAATAAAGTTATATCTTTGGACTATTTTTATTGCCCGTTTTGTAAGAGTAATATGGAAATAATTTGGAGGCCAAAATCAGAAAATCAGAATTCGTGGACCAGAGAAAATGTTTTGGTTCTTTTTTTTCTTTTTTTTGGAATATACTTATATTTATTAGCATAAATTTATTTTTAAAAAATTACATCAATTTCATAAATAAAACTAAAGATGTTGGATATTTTTTTTTTCCAACTTAGTTAATAGTTTCATATATCAAACACTATTTGAATATATGGTTCACAAATTAAATCGAAAATTGACAAATTAGGGAGATTATTGGAAGGTGAATTTATATAAAATTGCTTGATTTTAAAAGTTAAAAAATTTATTAAATTTTAAAATACTTTCGTTAGATTTGGAGAGAGTTTGTATATATAAAAAATCTATAAAATTATTTTAATGTGATTGATTTTAAGAATCTTAGAGAATTATTGAGAGATAGAGTTATAAAGTTTTGATTGATTTTAAGAGTTGAGAAATTTATTAAATTTATTAAAAATATTTGATAAATTTGGAAAGAGTTTGTATATTTAAAAAAACTATTAAAATATTTTATTATAACGATTTTGAGAATCTAAGCCATATATGTAATATTTTGAAAGTCTTACTAAATCTTGTTTTATGAGTTAAATTGTTTAAAATCTATGTTCTAATCATACAAGATTTTAATAGAATCATTTATACTATTAAAAGAGGATCATTTTTTAAAACTAACATTTATCCACCGTGTTATTTACAATATATTCCATTAGACTTATATTAGATATATAGAGATTCATTAAGGATAATTAAGACTTTTGCTATCAACTACATAACATATATAATTTGCCTAAAACATTTATAATGAACCTACACAAGATCATTTTTTTAACTTAAATCTCGGCAACAGTGTTTACAGCAAATAAATATTCAAATCTAAACCATATAATTTAACTAATTCCCACGAGTTTCTATATATATAAAGTAAGCTTTTCTCTCTTCTGGTGCTGCCATCTCATCAATACCTTCATTAATTATTTTTTATTTAAATTCTTGTAAAACACAAAATAACATTAACATTCAATATAAAAAATTAGTAAATATTCAAAGGTAATTATAATACACAAAATATTAATATTCAATATAAAATTACAAAAATAAATAGACAATTATAATATATTGTCAGAAAATAAAATAAAATAAAACTAAAAAATAATTACATACATGAGTTCTAAATATTTTAATATTCAAAGCTGATTTCTGCAAGTGTATGATGGAATTGGTAATTAAAAAGATGGAAAAATATAAATTAATATTAACATTCAATATAAAAAATATAAATTAACATTAACATTCATCGACCGGTTCAGATCGATCGTTTCCCGATGCAGTTTATCGAACGAGCTCTCCCTCAACATCCTCATCAGGAACTTGAGAGATGATTCGTCGTACTGCGAGCGATTGAAAACGGGAAAGACCAAAACCCTAGAAGATGCTTTGCACAAGGCAACCGGCTATATCAGGGTCGAAGAAGATCGGGCGGCCAAGGCCAAGGCCAAGTTGGCCGACGAGAAGTCTTCGCGCGACAAGAAACCCACATCGACTCAGGACGATTACAAAGAGCCTCGTCAGCACTACGACAAGGATGATGAGAATCATCAACGCCGTTGGACGACCGAAAAAGCTATGGAACGTTTGGGACCGTTCGAGTGACAGAGACCCTGATAATAAGAAGCTGTGGTGCAAGTACCACAAGGCACACGACCATCATACCGATGACTGCCGTACCCTCCTGGCCCTCTTGAGAAAGGCGTGGGAAGATGGCGAGTGCACCGTACCTGAGCCCCAAAGTTCTTCATGACGATCCGACGATGATCAGGACAGGCGATCCGATGGCGATCGAGATAGAAGAGCCGATGCTGATCGAGATAGAAGAACCGATGCTGATCGCCCATCTTCTAAACGCGAAGGCAAGGAAGCAAAGCGTGACCGTGAAGACGATCACACACCCCCAAGCTCACCACGTCGGCGGATCAACATGATCATTGAAGGGCTTCTCTCGTGCACCGACTCGATCAATTCGATTAAACGGCACGAACGAAAGGCAGCCAACCCTCCGAATGACGCCCCACCGCTGTTCAAAGATGACCTACCGATCACATTTACAGAGCAAGACGCGCAAGATATATACCGACCTCATAACAATCCACTCGTCATCTCACTGCGGCTCGGAGAAGACGACAACTTCAAAGTGCTGATCGACACAGGAAGTTCGGTTGACCTTATCTTCATGGATACTCTACGCAAGATGAGTATCCCCGAGCGGGACATCAAAGTCGCGCCATCACCCCTCACCGGGTTTGCTGGAGATTCAATCTCCATGATAGGAACTATAACGATGCCTGTCACCATACGCGGGAAGTCCATTACGGTCAAGTTCGAAGTTATCGACCGACCTGCAATTTATAATGCCATCCTTGGAACACCCTGGCTGAATGCCATGCGGGCCGTCCCTTCTTCTTACCACCAATGCATCAAAATGCCAATCAGGGGCCGTGTCATCACCACCCGTGGCGATCAGACAGTGTCCCGACATTGTTACATCGATAACAAACGCACCGGCAAAGCATAGACGTTTGTGATCGGCAGTAGCAACGACTTCGATCCACAGATAATTCATCACGACGAGAAACCGAAGAGCGATCTCATCGTCCAAAACATCAATACTGCTCACCTGGAACGTTGCGTCGGCATCGGCACGGAACTGTTGCCAAGCATGCAGGACAAGCTGATCAGTTTCCTCTGGGAGAACGTTGCAACGTTTGCGTGGTCCATGGCCGATATGAAGGGCATTAGCCCTCGAATCACGAATTACGAGTTAAACGTCGACCCCACTTTTAAGCCGATTAAGCAGAAGCGACGGAAGTTAGGACCTGAGCGAGCACAAGCCGTCCACGATGAAGTAGATAAGCTGCTGAAGGCCGGATCAATCACCAAAGTCAAGTATCCAGAGTGGGTCGCCAACCCGGTGGTAGTCAAGAAGAAGAACGGGAAATGGCGAGTCTGCGTGGACTTCACAGACCTCAACAAAGCTTGTTCGAAAGACAGTTTTCCTCTCCCTCGCATTGATCAGCTCGTCGAGGCTACCGCGGACAACGAACTACTCTTCTTCATGGATGCATTCTCAGGATACAACCAGATTCTCATGAATCCAGATGATAGTGAGAAGACCGCATTCATCACAGATCGAGGACCCTATTGCTACAAGGTCATGTCGTTTGGTCTGAAGAACGCAGGAGCCACCTATCAGCGCATCGTCAACAAGATGTTCGCCGATCAGCTCAGGAAGTCGATGGAGGTGTAAATAGACGATATGCTCGTCAAATCGGCTAAAACAGCCGATCATATTGTCCATCTGCGTGAATGCTTTCTCATACTCAACGAGTATGGCATGAAGCTCAATCCCGCAATATGCACCTTCGCAGTCACATCCGGCGAATTCCTAGGATACTTGGTCACTCAGCGCGGCATCGAAGCCAATCCTAAGCAGATCTCTGCGATCCTGGAGCTACCCTCGCCAAGAAATACTCGCAAAATTCAGCGCCTAACAGGAAGGATAGCCGCACTGAACAGATTCATATCTCGATCCACGGACAAGTGTCTGCCTTTGTATCAGCTTCTACGAGGCAATAAGCGATTCGAATGGGACGAGAAGTGTGAAGAAGCGTTCCTGCAGCTCAAAACCTATCTCTCAACACCTCCAATCCTGGCCAAACCTGAGTACGGAGACACTCTGCTACTCTATATAGCAGTTTTCGGTGCGGCAATTAGCGGAGTCCTGGTCCGAGAGGACCGTGGGGAGCACAAGCCGATCTTCTACTTCAGCAAGACTTTGGATGGAGCTGAGACTCGCTACCCGACCTTGGAGAAATTCGCCCTCGCGGTGGTCGTTGCTTCCAGAAAGTTGCGACCTTATTTCCAATCTCACTCCATCGCCGTCCTGACCAGCCAACCTCTTCGATCGATCCTGCACAGCCCGACACAATCCGAACGCATGGCGAAGTGGGCCATCGAGCTGTCCGAGTTTGATATCGAGTATCGAACGTGGACCTCTGCAAAATCACAAGTTTTGGCAGACTTCTTTATCGAACTGTCACCTGAGCTCTTGAAAGCCGACCCGACAAATTCTGAGATATGGACACTACACGTCGACGAGCATCATCACGATTAGGAGCCGGCATCAGCATCTTGTTGGAATCTCCCACCAGAGAACTTCTTGGGCAGTGCTTCTGTTTGGAGTTTAGTGCATCCAACAACGAAGCCGAATACGAAGCGCTGATCGGAGGCCTTCGACTATCTCGGGGGATGAACATCCAACACATTCGGGCATTTAGCGATTCACAGCTCGTCGCTAAGAGTTCAGCGGAGAGTACGACGCGAAAGACTATCGAATGGACGCCTACATGAAGCTGGTGAAGCAGTTAGCAGTGGAGTTTGTAACCTTTGAACTACATCAGATCGACCGATCTGCCAACACCGGCGCTGATGCCCTAGCTGCTATAGCATCAAACAGAGATTCAGCCCTTTGGAGAACTATTCCAGTTCAAAGAATATCCCAACCCAGCATAGTCCCGACCCAGGAAGTTCTCCAAATCACAGCCGATAAGGACGAAACAGTTCCTGTAGCATCCACTGACGACCAGCCAGCAGCAGAATGGCGAATCGAGATCCGACGTTTCCTCGAAACTGGCGAGCTATCACCGGAGAAGTGGACAGCTCGGCGGATCCGTGC